AGAACGAATACATGTATGTATATGCATGATTGGGACACTGTGCTGCACACCAGAGATTGATACATTGTAACAGACTTTACTTCAATTAAACAAAAAAAGAATGTGCAGGCTTGAACTGCTCAGGATGGTCCTTACATCAGGCTACTGAACGCTGGAAGCAGGGTGGGTCTGACGTGAAATGTGCTGTTAGTGTGAAGCCCACGTCCGATTTTGAAGACATTGTGAAAAGAGGTGTGTAAAGTATCTCACTGACAGTTGGTGTAGTGTTACCTATTACGCGTTGGCTTGATACTAATTCAGGCATGTTGGGTTAAGTAAATTGCATTATTACAATTCATTTTAATTGTTTTAATTTTAACTGTTTTTCCTACGTTCTCTTTTTAACATGGCTACTAGGAAATTTAAAATCACACATGTGGCTCATGTCATATCTCTACTGGACAGTGCTGATCTAAGTGGTCACCTCTGCCTTTTTGGTGGCAGCTCCCAAAGGGTAGGTCCAGGCTCAGAGAGGGGAGAGTTTGTCCCTCCTGGGTCGGGGTGCTGTACTAAGTTTATCGAGTGTCTGTGTAAGTAACACTACCTAAGGTGGCTGAAGGCACAGGTGCCAGAGATACAAACTGTAGAAGGTGTAGAGGCCTAAGCTAAGGTGCAGAAGGTGTGGTCCCCCCAAACCAACTCTGTGTGACTTTTAAGGAGACCTCAAGCTCAGCTGGTTGGCTCTGGTAGGAGGGTCCCGACTCATGGCTGTGTGAGGGTCTCCATCTCCAGCCCCCAGGCCCCCGATCAGCATTATATTGTGACTGGTTTGGGCTTTGGTTTGTGGGACAGAGTTTCCTTAAGAACCCCAGAACAAGGAGATGATAAGGGCGGTATCTTTTACACAGAGCTGCCACTTTCTGGCACCTGCCTGTCCTGAGATCTTTTTTCTGTGTGAAATTACATCGGCAAGCCCAGCCCAAATTCCAGCTTGGAAACTGACGCTCACCGTGCCCTCTGGCGGCTGTGCCAATGCCTCAAAGCAAGTGCCTTGTTTATAAATGTGCCCAGGCCTCTGCCCTCACAGGGACATCCTGGCATCGGGGCCCTGAGAAACAGGAGCGCAGGACCCTGCCCTTTGAAGAGGGGAAGCCACGGGGCCAAGGGAAGAGGATGAGCCCAGGGTGTGAGGACCTGGGGGTGAGCTGGACTTGAAGCGCCCCCAAGAAGGTCAGCGCCCAGTGCCCACGAGACACCAGCCCCCTCACCCCAGTGTTTGGGCTCCACGGATGGCCCTGGGCCTGGGAGCAGGAGGTGGTGGGGCTCTGCCATCAGGGTGCCACTGAGAAGCACCCCCCCAGCCCCAAGGCATTCATGAGCCCGTGGGCCCTTCACTGAACTGCTTTCAAAGCCTCCTACTTGTAGGTCTTCTCCTGAGAGGAGGGGTTTTCCTATAGCCAGACACCTTTTTTATTTTAGGCTTCTCTCTTTCAAACTTTAGGGAGCAAACCCTGAGATCAGTCAAACAAGTACTTCGGCGACTGTGGGGCCCACGAGTGCGAGGGCTAGACACCCACTTGCCTTTGATGGGACGGGGATGGGTTTGGGCCTGTACGGTGATGTCTGCATTTTAATTTATCCTTTAAAGTTGAGTGGATCATCAGTGCTTAAAAATCAGGAGAATTTATATTAAATCCTCATTTCTGGCTTTTCTGAAAAAAAAATGTGAAGACCTGGCAACACAGGGCCTCATCTCCACCAGCTAACCCTCGGCTGGGCTGGATAGTGGCTGTCCTTGGGCCAGGGCATGGCTGTCCCGAAGGCATGTGTGTTTCAGGCTCCTGCACGCATCCTCTGTCCGAGCTTCCAACGTGCCCACTGCCTTCTACTTAGTTCTTCTCTCAGCCCCAGCTCTGGCCCCACCAGCCACCCCATGGATGCCCCCGAGCTGGGGAAGCCAATCTCAGCTGCATCGGCTGGCCGGCCCCGCTCTCCCCTCCTCACCTTCACTGAGTAGGCCAGCGAGATGGTGACAGCCAGAGGGAGCCCCTCGGGCACGGCGACCACCAGCACCGTCACGCCAATGATGAAGAACTTGACGAAGTACTGCACGTAGACGGGTGTGCACTCGGGGAGCCACGGCTTCTTGTTGACCACGAAGGTGTCCACGGTGAAGTAGAGCACCAGGATGATCACGGTGATGGCCGACATCACCAGGCCTGTGACACGGGGTGGAGGAGGCCGCTCAGGGGGTGTCCTGGGGGTGAACGTCCCTGGGAAGTGTGTTGTGGACCCCAACCCTCGGCTAAAAGGGCTCTGGGGTCAGGCAGGCTGTGGCTCACATCCCAGCTCTGCCACTTGTGCTTTGTGGCCTGGGGCTTGATCCTCACGGAGCCTCAGTTTCCTCTTCTGCATGATGGGGATGCATGTTTGTTTCATGTGGTTTTGTAAGGAGTTAATGCAATTAACGCATGTAAATTGCCTGGTACAGTGTCTAACATGTAGTAGGTGCTGAGTGATCATGTGAATAAACTCAACACACATCAACAGGATAATTCAGATATGGATAACGCTGTGAAGAAAAACTCCAGGGAGATGTGCCAGAAAGTGACACAGGCTGAAGATCAGAAAACATCCCAAATGTCCATTGACAGATGAGTGGATAAAGAAAGTGTGGTTGATACTATTGACTGAAATATTACTCAGCCTTAAAAAGGAAGTTCTGCCATTTCCAACAACGTGAATGGATCTGCAGGACATTATGCTAAGTGAAATGAGCCAGACACAGAAGGACTTAGATGAGGAATCTGTAAGAGTCAAACTCATAGAAGCGGAGACTAGAAGGGGAAAATTCTAGAGCTCTGCTGTACATCATAGTGTGACAGTTAACGATGTGGTGTCATCAGGATTGCTTAAGGGGGTCTTCAGTGTTCTTAACCCAAAAAACAAAAAACAAAAACACCATGAAAGAACACAAGGACATTCTTGGAGGTGGTGGATATGTTTAGTACCTTGGTTGTGGTAATTGGTATCATGGGCGTATGCATACGTTGAAACTTGTCCCACATTAAATGTTTGCAATTTTTTGTACATAAATTATATCTCAATAAACTAAAAAGGATGAGAAAAAGAAAAAAAAAGTGACATGGAATGGTAGGCCCAGTAGCTACTTCAGCTAGGGTGGTCAGGGAAGACTTCCTGGAGGAGGTAATATTTAAGCAGAGAGACAACAGAGTGTTCCAGGCAGAGGAGAGAGCAGGGGGTCCTTTCTTGGATGAGGAAATTGAGGCTCAGTGAGGATAAGTGACTTGCCCGAGGCCACAGGCCAGGGAAGCACTTTCAGGTGGCTACCTGCTGGCATACTCCTGGGATCCCTCTTGCCGGCTCGGCGCGCCCGTCCACCCTCATCTGCTGCACGTGCTGTGCAGCAGATGCAGCCTCGGCCCCACGCCTGCAGCCTTGGCCAGAGGAGGAGAGCACTTGGGCAACTTGACAGAAAGCGCCTGGGAGTCCACCCACCCCAATCGGATGGCCAGTATCCAATGGCCGATGTGAGGGTCCAGAAGCCCAGCCCCTGCAGAGGTCCTCATGCTCCAGGGCTCTCGGAGGGATCAGGCGGAGAATGGGATTTCTCTGGAAACCTTGGCTGTATCTGGCTTCTTCCTGGGCCCTGTTGCACCCCTTACCCTTTAGAGGTCTCACCCTTCCCCAGATCCTGTGCCCACCCATTCAGGTTCTGCTTTCAAGGAATTCAGCCCATGAGAGAAGCAGAGGTGGGATGTGAACCCAGAAGTGCTCGACTCTGAACTCCATGCTGGGCAGGGCCGAGGTGGGGGAGGGAGATGCAAGAGGGCTTCAAAGGCCAGGGGGTTGCCCTCATCACTTTGCTGCCTGCCCTCCAGTGCCACGTGCAGGGATGGAGGAAATCCCTGGGCCCGTCACTCCCCAGCCCCCACCTCCAGCTGCAGAGCCGCAGAGCTGGCTGGATCCCTGTCTGACAGTCGCAGGGGCGGGAAGCCAAGCTCCCAGCAGGCCCCTGAGTTTAAATATAGACAGCCAAGCCTGTAATTTGCCTCTCTTCTCCACGCTGTGGTGCCTATAATTAGAGCCGGGAGACAGTCACGAAGGAGCAGGCAGCCAGGTGGGGAGGCCTTTGCGTTTGCCACATCCTTACCCCGGAGGGGAGGCCAGGGCCGTGTCGGGCAGGCAGGGCTCACCCTGCAGCTGGGCTTGGCTTCACGGGCCACAGGGGTCACCACCAGTTATCACCTGCAGCTACCAACTCAGGTGGGAGACCCGGCTTGTGCTGGGGCTCCAACAAGGGGCTTCTCACTGGGCTCCTGGCACTGCCCTCAACCTCTTCAATCTGACATTTGCATGGCAGCTGGGGCAGGTGGCCGTGATAGAGCTCAACTCCATCCCTGCCCTCCGCTGCTCAAACCTCTGCCAGGGCTCCCACTGTCCTCAGGAGCAAGCCTGCAATGCAGACTTCAGGCCGTACAGGATCCGCCTTCTGTCCAGCCACCACACCTGCCAAGTGCCAGGCATCTGTAGGCGTAAATGACCCCCTTTAATCCTCAAAGCAACCTGTGAAGTAGGGACTCAGGGTTCCAGGTCCACAGACTGGGAGGCGGAAGCTCTGAGCTAGGCAAAGTTATGTGCCCAGGCTCTCAGCCGTAGCTGGACGAGGACACAGGCAGGCTGCCCCCGAGCCTGAGGTTTTAGCTTTACTCTTCTGCCTCCCTAAGTGCCAACTGAGCGCATACTGTGTGAACACTCAGGCCGGTTGCTATTGTAGAGAAGGTGGGTCTCGTGTAAGCCCTCACTTGGCAGATGAAGTAACGGAGGCCCAGCTTGGACCAGGGCCCTGCCTGTGGGCCCCCCTGTGCCCCGCTCCCCCTTGCACCAGCCGTTGCTCACCGGCCTTGCCGATCTGCACCGCCAGCTTGGTGAGCTTGCCCTGCAGCACCGACTTCTCCTTCTTGTGCATATTGGCCTTCTTTTTGTCGTCGGCATCGCCTCCCTCGGCACTCTTGAGGGGCTGCATCTCCATGGCGGCTGCCCCGTCCTGCTGTTTGGCTGCGCGGGGCAGATCACACACACACACACACACACACACACACACACACCGCACACACACACACACACACAGACACACACAGACACGCACACACACAGGTTAGCCTGCAGGGTGGGGATGTTGGCACCCACCCACCTGCCCAGGGGAGCATGGAAAGGCCCTCACTCCCCCACCTGGTCCCCTGCATGGCCAGCACAGAAGCTCTGCAGTGGGGGATTAGCCTCTTCCCACTGGAGACCCTGGTCCCAGGGCCACTGGCTGCCTTGGACCTGGACTCCAGGACACAGCAGAGAGTGACACAGCTCCACCCTAGATATCCAGCAGGAGCTGGCTGGGGTCTCCTCTGGGCCTGAACAAGCCCACGGACCCTTCTGCAAATGGCCCCTTAGCTTTGCCCGCATTCATTTGGACTTTTTCCAGTTGGTCATTGGGCCGTGTTGCTGGGATATTAAGTAGTCACCAGGTAGAAGGGGAAAACTGGGGGCTGAAAAAGTAAAGGAGAGTCTCCGTCCACTTCCTTAGCGCAGGACTGATGGATGAGCCTGGGGCCCTACCCCTTAGCCCCATAAAGATCTCAAAGAATCAGCTGCAAGTCTTCAGCTGAATGGGCAGCCTGGCTCAAAGGCTGGGGAGAAGCTGGCTTGTGGGTGACATGTCCTTAGCTGGTGATGCCTCCCTTTGGCCTGGCATCACAGCTACCCCCCCAAAGATGTCAGGCACCCGCCGGAAGGGATGTCTGCCTTTGGTGTGGCCCTCAGACCCAGAGGGGAGGGGCTGCAGGGACCACAGGTTAATACAAAAGGGTTACCTTTGCTCTGGCTGGCGTCCACATTGCCATCCTGCATTTTACCTACACGACAAAGAATTTTAACAGACAACAGAGAACAGACAACACACGTCGGTCACCATGAAGACGCAACAGGGCCACGGACATTCATGTCAGGTGGAGGGAGGGCCGAGCCAGCTCTGCCCCTCTGTCCGGGGATGCTGGGGAGGTTCCCGAGACCAGAGCAAACCCGCAGTGGCTGCAGGGTCGCTCTTGATTCTCTGGGGGCACAGAGAGAGCGCTTCTGTGGGGATTCTTTTGGCCCTGAGCGTCTTACAGATTGCATGGCAGTCTTTGAGAGTAAAAGGGACCACAGTCCCTGGCAGGAAACAGAAGGGGTGGGAGTTCTCAGGTCCCCAGGGAGTAGTTTGGTTGGTGCCTTTTGCAGTCTGAGAGGAGGCAAAGAGAACAATGAGAGAGAGAGGGAGAGAGGGAGAGACAGGAGAGATTCTAGAACGGGGAGGAGTCTGGCCACTGTGTTTCTTCGTTTCTGGCGCCAGGAGGACGATTTCACTTCCTCCTTCTTCTTATGAAAGGGCGTGAAGCCCCTGCATGGACACCTCCCGGTCCAGCCTCACTGGGGGTGATCCAGGCAAAGGGTGGGCAGGGGCTCCCCAGCGGTGGGCTCTGAGGTGCCCCCCAACCCCATGTCCAGAGGCTTGGTGGCCGTGCCCTGGCTCCCAAGAGGAAGCTGCTGGCCCTTCTTGCCAGTGGGGTGCATGCTGTATATTCTGGGTTGACTGGCTTGGGCCATCGCAGACGGGTGAAGTCAGGTTGGTGGGATCTCCTGGGTGCCCCTGACCCTCCACCCCCAGCCCTGTGTATCAGGGCCTGATGCTCTCTCGCTGGGAAAAGGGCTGGAGTCTGGGGCTCCCCACTCCCTAATCAGGGCCGCCTGGGAGGCCGCCTCTCTAGTCTCGGCTCAAGGTATGTGGGCTGGATCACAGGGTGGGAGGCACTGGTGGCTGCTACCTGGTAGCTAGACACCTGCCTTCACCTGCTGGCACTGAGGGGATGGGGGCGCTCTCCTGTCCCCTGGGCTCATCCAGAGCTTTGCCCATGGGCCCACCACCTCAGGAGGACTCTGAGGAGGTGGGCCACCCTCAGACGTTTGCTGTGAAGGAGACTTTCACTGCTCGTGTTCCAGGCACCTACGTGACCTCCTCGCCTCCACACCCCTACCCAGGGCGCACCAGCAGCACACTCATTTACAGATGAGAAACTGCGGCTCAGGGAGGCAGACACAGCGAAGTCTCTGCCAGGGGTCAGCAGGTGAATGGAGAGCTGGCCCCAAAGTGCATGCACGTTTCTGCCCCTTTGGGAAGAACACTGCCACCCCTCAGCCCCCTGAGCCCAGGGGAGGGGCGTTGAGGCAGCACTGGTGGGACTAGGCTCCTGAAGCCGAAGTTTCGACACCAAACAGCTGAATGGCTTTACCTCTCCCAGCCTCACACCCCTCTCCATCGCATGGGGATGCAACATTCACCTCCCGGAGCACCTACAAGTTGCTGAGGGATAACCACTCGCCCTTCTGCAGTTTGCAGGTGTCTCATCTCTTGTCAATCTCCTGATACCCTGCAAGGCGGGGTGGGAGGGCTTTTCATCACTCTCGTTTTACAGATGAGGAAACTGGGGCCAAAGGAGGTTCAGAGGCAGCCGTCACTTACAGAGCATCCTGACAGCAGTCCTGTGACTGCGTTAGTCTCATCCCCACCACCACATCCATGTTACAGGTGATCCAGAGGGGAGAGGAGCTTTCCTGGATCCCAGCCCCACACCATCTCTCTAGGGCAGTGCAGTGCTGTTCCTGCTGCCTCTCAAGGCCAAGGGTCCATGACCCACCCTGGGGATTAAAGAGAAAGGTCCCCGCTGTTCTACTGTAAAATTCTTTTTACTGGATTAAAAAACAAAACAGAAAAGGGCTTTTCAGAGCCAAGAGGAATGAACTACAACATTTTTATTTTTAAAAATAATTTTACTAACTGGGCTAAAGTGCACCGGAGGACTGGGCTTCAATGGTTGGTGTCAGACAGCACAATGGGGTCTTTATTTGCATTGCAATTATCAGATGCAATAGCCCGGGTGTGCCCATTAGCCAAGCTAGCAATTTCCTCTTTTATTTCCACAGTGACCACGTGGCCAGATAAAAACAATCAACAATGCCTATGTTTGAGGAAGGGAGCCGTGTTCTGGGGGTGCTTTGCTTGGTGCGGATGGTCTGGTTTCTCAGAAACAAGGGACTCATCTGGGTTCAAACTCTCTTGGGTTCAAATCCTAGCTCTGCTACTTGCTAGTTTTGTGACCATCTCCCTGAGCCTCGGTTTCCTCATCTTTAAAGTGGGGACAGTAAACTCTGTATCACAGGGTTTCCGTGAGGATTAAATGAGATGCCTGCAAAGTGCCTGGCGCACAGTCAGTGGTTAAGAAATGATGGTTCCCCATCTTTTCCTGCAGGTGTTCTTGGGATACTTGGAGCTTTCTGCGACAGTTGGAAGTGAGGCTGCCCTTATTCTGGGACTGGCCAGCCTGGATGCAGGCGACATGTTCCTGAGCCCAGCAGGCTCATCGTCCTGGGAGAAAGAGGACGCCACTTCCTGTTTCCTTCCGCCCCGTCAGGTGGGTTTGCCTACGTCCGGTCTCTCTGGTATCCCTGCTGCCTCTCCCGCACGTGACACCACCCACACCTCAAGCTGTCCTCCTTTGTCCTCCTGGGCCTGAAATAGACCCACACCCGAATTAGCCTTCTTGGCAAGGTGCTGCTCACAGAGGAGTCTTGCCCAGCCCCTGACGTCTACTAGGTGCTTCCATCTTTGGTCACTTTGAATCCGGGTGGCTCAGCCAGAGGTCCGGGCAGGGGATGGGAGGATGAGGTGGGACCTGAACTCTATGTGTCCCGGGAGTGGTGAGGAGTAAATGATACAATGGATGAGAAACGCGCAGCCCGGTGCCCAGGATGCGTGATGCTGGAGGAAAGCATTCCCTTCCCTCCACTTCTCCGGGGCAATGGCTTCATGACGGAGCCCCAGCAGCTCTCAGCAGTTCAGGAGACGACTAGGTGACTGTATGTTAACCAATTTGGGGAGGGGGATGTATCTGAGTAAACAGAGGCGAAGATGGGAGGGTACAGAGATAAGAAATCTTCTAAAGGCTTGGAGACAAGTGAATGGAATTCCTTCCTGCCTGTGTGTAAGGAGGTTAAGATGCAGACCCCAGGTGCAATGGCAGCCCCCTGTCCCCACCGCCCATGCCCGAGGGGGCCAGTAAGAATGCAGAAACTCAGGAGAAACGCTCCAGCACAGGCAACAGCAAGAAATACCAGTCCACATCTGAGGGACAGAACTAGACCCAAGCCCAAGCGAACCCCCGGCCCATTTGCTCCGTGAAAGAGAAGAGGAAGAATGTCTACCAGTGGCTCAGCCATGCTACCGGTGGGGCCCAGGAGCTAAGCCCCGGCCTGGGTCCCCCTGCCTCGAGGGAATTGCCCAGTGGAGGACTGGAGCCTTCACTGGGAACCCAGACGTCAGCTTCAGCCCAGGTCCTGACCCCAGGCCTTCTTCCCAAAGCCAGGGCCAGGAACGTGCTTAGGAGAGGGCCACACTGGGTGGGACACTGCTTCGTGGGGGCCAAGTCTGAAGCCAAGGTCATGTCCCTCTTCTGGGCTCCTCTGGGGGTCAAGGGCCCAACAGCAGCCAGCGCCACTGGGGCAGCCACGAGTGGGAGTGGAGCTGGTTCCCTGGTGGTGGCTTCTCTCTTAAGCACCTGCCCCGTGTGAAAGGACGATGGTCCCAGAGCTGCCCATGCACATCCAAGATCTGTGCTGTCCAGAACAGGGAGAGGCAAGCCCAGAGTTGGGGTGGGGGGAGACGCCCATCCAACCCAGACCGAGAGCTCGCCGAGGGAGACGTACCATTGACTAGGCTGGCATTTGCACTATCTGCAGCATTTGAACCTGCCGCACCATCGGCCGCTGCAGGGGTGGGAGGGATGGAAAATGCAGTGTGTCACAATGGAGAAAAGCAACAACAGTCAAGACATGAAGCAACTTGTGGGAGATAACATGACTATATTCTTTAAAAAAAAGAAAGCTCCGTTGGAAATCGAGGAACTCAAATTTGGGGGTCGGGGGTGAAATGTTCCCATAGAGACGTCAAAGAAATCAGGGGGAAAAAAACTCAAGACATGGAGGGTCTTTGAAATAAAATATGGAGGATGATCAATGTGCTTAGGGGGGATGGCACTGTCGGTGGTGAGGTCTGGACCAAGGCACCCTGCTGGCCCAACCCACCAGGAGGGTCCTTGTCAGAGAGGGTTCAGTGAGGAGGGGGGTCTGGCTGCCCGTCAAAGCCAGAGGGGCCCGTAGCCAGGAGGTCGATTCAAAACGTCCACCAAGTGGGTGAGCAGTGTGGGCGACCAGCCATCTGATGAGTGTTGTCT